ACCAGCATCCTCATCATCATCATCTTCTGCCTCCTCATCATCATGGTTCATGAAATCATCATCAGCATCATCATCAGCAGCATCATCATCACCCCGCACGCCGTAAGATCGTGGCCCGGTGAACGGTGTGCTCGGGCTGGTGTTTCTGGGCCAGTAGTCGTGCCCCAGAAGGCCGTTTGACGCCCTGGCGGCGCGAGGGCGCAGCCGGCGCGTGGGATCGAGACTGGAGTTTAGCATGAGCACGCTGCCCTAATCTCCTCTCCCATCTGTTGCCTCCACATCGTACTCCTCATTGTCGTCCTGCTTCTCCACCTCCTCCGTCTCCCCCTCATCCGTCTCCGCCTCGGCCCCCTCCTTCGGCATAGGCGTGGCGCTAGTATCATCCTCCATCTCCTCCTCCCCCCTCCGTCTCCTCCTGCTCCCCATTCGTTCCCTATGCCTCCTCCTCATCCTCCTCCTCCTCATCCTCCTCCTCTTCCTCGTCTCTTCTCCTCCCTCCTACTGCATCTCCTTCTCCCTGTCGCTGTCGCTGCTGGCAATGATCCGATCAGGGATGCTGCCATTCCCTCAAACTCCCAAGGGTGGTCGCCCCTGAAGGGGGGATGATCAAACTAGGGTAGATGTAAGAAGTAAAAAAATGGATGGATCCAACAGGGGCGAGACAGACCCATGCGTCCCCTGGAGGGGGGGTCGGAGGCACGGCGGGACGGTAAAAGGGCCTCCTCTTCTGCCTCCCCATCCCAGAGGCTTCGACGCGCGCTTCCTCCACGACGTTGCCAGCGCTGGCGAGCGCCGCGCCATGCTCTGCGGGCAGACCGTGGTGGAGCAGGGATCTGGCTCCAGTCCCTCAAGAAGCCATTGTGACGTCGTCGTCGTAAGAGGTCGAAGCAGAAAAGGACAAGTAAAGTAAACCATACACAGACTTTAAAGTATGCGTTGATGTAAGTACGTGTTCGTAGACATGCAGAGGTATATGTATAGACATACATATACATATATGTGTTGTATTGTGTGTTGAATTTCATGTGTGCATGTATACATACACATATAGCATGCACGCAGAAAATGTACGCTGTACGCATGTGAAAATATGTACGCACGCATGTACGAATAGACATATATCTATGTATACACAGACTTGTCGGAGCTCCGCGCAGTTTTTGTTGGATGGCGCTGGGCTCCACTGGCGGCGTCTCCAGCGCCGCTTCTCGCGCGCGGAGGTGCCGCCAGGGAGAGGGTCCAGCGCGGATGCGAGAAATTTGCGCGGAGTTCAGAAAGTTTATTCCCCAAACGCTGCTTGCATTTAGGGATTCCTGCTATAAGGAACTGGGCCTGTCTGCTGGTCTGGCGGGTTATGTTGCTGCCGTCTCCGCCCCGTCGCCGCCTCGTCGCCGCCCGTCGTCTGGGCCTGACTGCCGGTCTGGCGGCTATGTTGCCGCCATCGCCGCTTTGTCGCTGCCTCGCGGCCGTCACATGGGTTGCTACACATTGCACATCATGGGTTCTCCTTTCTTAAAGAAGAATAGACTCTACCCCCCCCCCGAGTGAACGGTACATTTTTCGCATTGAATTTACGTATGATTCTGCACATTCGTCCATCCTAAATATAGGGCCAGTACCGCCTCCCCCCGCCATCCTCTGTGCAAAAAATACTATGCGCGCACATTCGTTTATCAAAAATCGTAGTTTTCAAGAATCCCGTGCAGAAAACGGAACGAAGTGCACATGCGCGCATCGTCGCGCGCGCATGCCGAAATCCTTCAAAAACCTTCGGTTCCGGAAGGGTATGACAATCGAGCTTCCTCAAAACAAACAAAAAAACAGGGTTTCGCAACACTGATTTTCTGAAAGAGCTTACGCGCGCGCTCTTGCGAATTTTTAAGAAAACTATGGTTTTTCCAGATTTTCAAAAAAATACTACCACGCTCATGTCGAAATCTGTCGAACGCCCTTGCGCGCGTGCCCTCGCGAGAATCCTCTGCAAAAAAAGAGAGACGAAGTGCAGACGCGCGCGTCGTCGCGCGCGCATGCCAAAATCTTTCAAAAACCTTCGGTTTCGGAAGGATTGCAAAATCGTGTGTCAAAAAAACATACAAAAACACAAGGTTTCGCAACACGGACTTTCAACAAATGCGTGCGCGCGCGCTCTTGCGTCGTCGTCGCCGTCGTCGCCGTCCTCGCTCCTCCCTCGACGTCGTCGTCGCCGTCGTCGTCCTCTGTCTTTCCTCGTCATCGTCGTCGTCTTGGCGTCGTCGTCGTTTCCGTCGTCGTTGTCGCCGTGGTCGTCCTTCCTCTCTCGTCTTCGTCGGCGTTTCGTCGTTGTCCCTCCTATTCCGTCGTCGTCGTCGTCGTCTTCCCTCCTCCCTCGTCGTTGTCGTCGTCGCCGTCGTCGTCCTCCCTCCTCCCTCGTCGTCGTCGTCTTCGTTGGCGACGTCGTCGTCGTCTTCGTCGTGGCGGTCGTCGTCGTCGGCGTCGTCGTCGTCGTCGGCGGCGTCGTCGTCGTCGGCGGCGTCATCGTCGTCGTCAGCGTCGGCGTCGTCGTCGTCGGTGTTGTCGTCGTCGTCGTTGTCGTCGTCGTCGAAGTCGTTGGAGACCTCGTCGTCGTCGGTGTCGTCATCGTCGTCGTCGTCGGCGTCGTCGTCGTCGTCGGCGGCGTCGTCGTCGTCGTCGTCGGTGTCGTCGTCGTCGTTGTCGGCGTCGTCGAAGTCGTTGGAGACGTCGTCGGTGTCGTCGTAGTCGTTGTCGGCGGCGTCGTCGTCGTCGTTGTCGCTGTAGTCGTCGGCGTCGCTGTCGTTGCGAAGTGCCATTTGGTACCCACCGTCACGGTCTTAAGAGATTGTGCAAACCAAGTTGCGGGTGGGTGGGTGGGATGTTTGCGCGAGCAGTGGAGTGGACAACTCACTGCGAACAGAAATTAATTGCACCACATAGATTGCACCACATAGGTTGCACATCGCGGATTGCGCAACATGTGTTACAGCATATGTCGCACCAGGTAGAATGCACCATCTAGATTCCTTCACATAGACCGCACCACATAGATTGCCCCCACATACATAACACCACATCGGTTGCTAGAACCACATGGTTTGGAACTCACGCTGGCGAACATGTGTATATGGTTGTCTTTCTTCCCGGAGGAGCTGGACGAGGCACAGAAGGAGGAGGGAGAGGAGAAAGGGGGAGGGCGAAGGAGGCGGCTCAGAGAGGGGGTGCGAGAGAGGTCTGGCGGTGGAGGGAGTTCTGCGGGAGAGAAGTGCGAGCGAGTGGAGGGTGTGTTCCTCGTTCTCACCCTCCCTCACCCTCCTTCCTCTACCTCCTCCTCCTCCTCCTCCATCCCACTCCCCCCCATTGATGAATAAACGCTCCCCGCCGCACCAAGTAGGTCGGGTCGGATGTTTCGTTGGAGGCTTCCTCACGGCGTATGGTGCTGACGCTCAAACATTTCGATCATTACACGAATGGAGGGCGGGTTGCTTCCAGCACGTGTTTCTCGCCTGGGCGCCGCACCTATTCGGTTCAAAAGCTTCGAACGCTACGAGCAGCTACACGGACGCAAAAGCTTTCGATAGCTACACGGGTGGGCGACGAATCGTTGTCAGCATGTTTTAGTGCCGCGCACAGCCACCAATAAATGTCCACATTGCTATACGGCTATATGGATGGAGGGCGCATGGTCTTGAGCAGGTGGTTCTTCATGTCGCGTCGCGCACGTTGAGTCAGCATGTGTCGGCAGTTGCACGGGTTCAGGGTGACATGTATTTTAAATTGGTCTTATCGATTGAGGCCCCCGTAAATGATAGCATTGCCACGAGGATGGAGGACAACCCCATTTCAAAATGCGGTTGTTTCTTGCGAGCTCTGGGAGTGTATGACCAGAAAAGTCTGGATGCGCAACAGCTACACGGGTGGAGTGCGGGTCCTTTTCCAAATGGGGTGTTGCCCACCATTGATGTTATTGTTTGGGCGCTTCTAAGCAGTGGAACGGCTTGTGGCAGGGATGCACAAGCAGGGAATTGGAACCAGGAGGGTGTACCACAGCAGCGTTGATACGTCCTGGGTCCACTCTGGTCCTCCCCTGTCCTCTCGCTCCCCCCGCCTCACCCTCTCCTTCCTGTCCCCCGCCATTTCCTTGTCATCGTCATCATCCTCATCGTCCTCCTCCTCTTCATGCACAGGCCAGTGCACCGAAGGGCACCGTCCCGGCTGAGTAGCTCGCAGCCGTTCGTTTACTTTTCCCCGAAAGGGAGGAGAAGTAGCCAGCGGCGGCGACGAACGGTCGCACACACACACACACACACATCGCCGATGGTCGGAACACAACGGTACAGGGCAAGAAGCAGGAGTTGATTGGAGGCGCAGGCTGTGGTAAGATATTTCTGGCCTCGCAGGCGCTAAAGTGTTCAAGTGTGGAAAAGGAGCGGAGGCGAAAATTGCAAACAGGAGGAGGACGACGACGACAATGGCGACAAGGAAGTTGAGGGCTGAAAGGGGGGAGGAGGAGGAGGAGGAGGAGGAGGAGGAGGAGGAGGAGGAGGAGGAGGAGGATCTACTCCCTCCCATGAAGCAGGCAGGCTCCCCGCAGCCTTTTGAACCCCTGTCACCAACTCCAGCTGCCCGTATCCAGCGCTCGAGCCCTCATCCCTCAGCCTCCGTAGCCAAGCTGGTTCAAGGCAGCACTGGCGCAGTCCAAGATCACGGTCTATCAAGTTCTAGATAATCCAAGTGCGTTGCCGCGCGAATTCGTCCTCGCGTTTGGGGGGGAGCCTTAGGGGGGGAGCCCTGGAGCGTACGCCATGGACCCACACACACCCAAAAAAAAACTGTCATTTGACGTTTGACGTCATGTTCGCCATGGAAGGCCAAACAATGCAGGGACCCGGTGCCAAAAAGTGTGCATGGTGGGCTCGATGCGACGAGAGGCGTGCTTCACATGAAGTTGAATTAGTGAACAGGCGAAGAGCCCGACACACCGAAGGCTGCAAGCGCGGCGGGAGATAATGAACTCTACTCGTACTTCCACCATGTTGGCGCTCCAGTGTTTAGTCATGCTCGCTTCTTGGACCGCCAGCCGTGCCGTGGCACCCCCCAAGACAGGCGCCACGGACAGCGTGACGAACGGCTCATCTGAATTGCTCACCGTGCCACTGAGGAAGCAGTACGTGCCCATAGAGAAGAACGGGGCTGTCATAGCCTACAAGACGTCGTACTTCGGCAACATATCTGTCGGCATGCCAGAGCCCCAGGAGTTCACCGTGGTGTTCGACACTGGCTCCGCGCACCTCGTGCTTCCCTGCACCGGCTGTGAGAGCGAGACGTGCGCCAAGCACAGGCTGTACAACCGCTCCTTGTCTGGGACGAGCGTGGACATCGAACACGATGGCAAGTTGGTCCCAGCAGGCGTTGACAAGAGCCAGCGCGAACAGCTCTCCATCACGTTCGGGACGGGCAAGGTCGTCGGTGAGTTCGCGGAGGACAAGGTGTGGTAAGGCTTCGGGCTGTGCACAGACAGCCCCACCCGGTAGTCCCAGCTGGCCTCAACGGGCCTCCCGAGTAGTCCGAGCTGGCCCCCCGAGTGGTCGGGGCGGTCTCCACGCCTCATTGAACCCTGGGGCGCGGAGCGCCGTGGGGGGAGACCGCCCTGGACCACTCGGGGGGCATGCCGAGGCCACCTGGGTCTGCTCCGGGGGGTCACGCCGAGGCCAGCCAGGACTGCCTGGGGGTGGCTGTCTGTGCGCAGCCCGGTGCCTCCGCAGACAAGGTGTGCCTGGGGCCGCGGGCGGAGGACTGCAGCACCATGCGGGTGGTGCTCGCGAACGACATGTCCGCGGAGCCCTTCGGGCTGTTCGCCTTCGACGGCGTGCTCGGGCTCGGCCTCGACGCGCTGGCGCTGAACCCCGAGTTCAGCTTTTTCGGGAGGATTCGAAGGAGGAACTGAAATGCATGAACACAGACCGTCAGAGCTCCGCGCGGATCTCTTGGGTCGGTGCAGGGGCCCCCCGGCGGCGCCCGTGGCGCGCTCCGCGCACCAGGGAGCGGGGGGGAGCCCAGGCGCCGATCCAAGAAATCCGCGCGGAGCTCCGAAGTCTATGTCAGGCGATCGCAAGCATGGATCAAGGGGGCGTGGATTAGCGGCTGGTCCCGTTTCCATGGGAAATCGCAGATTTCCGCCGCCGAACGAGGCGGCACCGGCCGCATTTTGCGGAGGGCACCTCCCCCGATCCATGGATTTGGTGACCGCGCGCCAAATCCATGGATCGCTAATCCATCTTTGCGCGCCCCCGATTCCACCTCCTGAGGATGACGCGGCAGCAGCCCGCCATGCTGCCCCAGTTCTCAGTCTTTCTCGCGCGGAACGACGAGAGCCTCAGCACCATCTCCTTCGGCGGCCACCAGCCGGAGCGGGCCGCCTCGGCGCTGCGCTGGGCGCCGGTGGCCATGCCGGAGCTGGGCTACTGGCAGGTGTCAAGGGAAGAAAAACCACCCGGACAACGATAATTGGCGTTCACGAAACGGCCTCGGGCGTTTTTACTACACAGCCCTGCCCTGTTCGATTCCCTTCACTGGGTGCGTTTACTACACTCAGGAGGGGAAAAAACACACAGACAAAATTAATCGGCGACTCCCAGAAAATATCGGAAAATATGGGAAGTGGGGGGGGAGACAAAAACCCAGAAAATATGGGAAAATATGGGGGATATTTTTATTTGTGTGTATTTATTTGTGTGTCCCAGTTCCCCTTCATAAACGGCCTCGCTTGTCGGGGTGGTCTTTGTCGCGGTGGATGTTCGGCCCTCCTAAGGTGGAGATCAAGTCGGTCCGGATCGGGGGCGAGGTCCGGCCACGCGTGAGAGTGGCCCGTCGCCTGGGTGACGTTTTTGGTGCGGGCTGACAGGGGCCACCCTTCGGCGGCGAGCGAGGGGTCCTCCTCCTCCTCCTCCTCCTCCTCCTCCTCCTCCTCCTCCTCCTCCTCCTCCTCCTCCTCCTCCTCCTCCTCCTCCTCCTCGGGGGTAGGTGAGAAGGAGAAGGCCTTCTCAGAAGGCGGCGGGACTTCTGAGAGGCCCTCGCGCCTTCTGAGAAGTGTTCTGCATCTTCGGGGAAAGCCCAGAAGGCTTCTCAGAGGGCTGGGGGACTTCCGAGGCTTCTGAGAAGGCCCGCCCCTTCTCACTTCCCCCGGGCTCGCCGCTGGCCCCTGGCACTGATGCGCGCGTGGATTTGGTCCCTGCACGGCCCTTGAAGCCGCGCACCAAAAAGGTCACGCTTGCCCAGGCTCACTCTTGCGTGTAGCCGAGAGGTCATCGAGGACTGCGAGGCTCGAAGGGAACAAAAAACAGCAGCAACAACAACAACAACAGCAAAAATTGTTGGAGCACCGCGCAGATTCCCTGGATCGGCGCTCGGGGCCCATTGGCGGCGTTTCCAGCGCCGCCCCTGGCGCGCTCCGCGCGTCAGAGAGGGGGAGCCCAGCGCCGGTCCGAGAAATCCGCGCGGAGCTCCGAAAGTTTGTGTTCATGCAGAGTCGGTGCCGACGACCCTGCTCGCTGGAACGAGGAGGGGCAGGATCAGTAGCAGGAGGAGGAGGAGCAGGAGCAGCAGGAGGAGGAGAAGGAAGCCATACCAGGCTCAGGCATCCGAAGTGCCTGTGAGCTCGGGGCTGAGGCGCCGCGCCCCTGGCCAGTGTCAGCTGCTTTGCTGGTGACTGGGGCGCGCGCGATCACGGCGAAGACTACTTCTCACAAGCCTACACATTCTCAGTTTGCTTCTGCCAAGGAACCATCCTGGCACAAGAGGTTGAGACGACGACGAAGGAGAGCACGAGTCCTGTTGGCCGTGCTCCGAGCGACAGAGGTGCTCCAGCAACACCATTCAGCCATGACGAACTTCGGCCAGTGGAACTGCCCGTGCGGGCGGTACGTCAAGAACCACCAGCGCTGTTTGTGCGGATGCCATTACCACAACCGTCTGCGCCAAGGGGAGACAGCTCGGCCGCCGTCAGCATGGCCCAATGTGGACGCAGCGATCGCTCGTGGGCAGCGCCAGCATGCACAAAGGGATCAGGTGGCAGCAGATGTGCGAGCAGAGCGCGACAGACGGGATCGAAGGGACCGCAGTGCCAGCCGCAAGCCGAAGCCGCAGCCAGTGGACAAGCAGGTGAAAATGTACATCTCCAGAATCGTCCCTATGACAAAGGCCGAAGCCGTGGACTTCGACCAGCTGTACCACGAGCCGCCAGCGGAGCCTATGGCGCAGAAGCAGTTTCAGGATGCGACCCGCAGCCGAATGGTGGAGTATGCGAAGATGGCGATGGCAGCGAGAAGGGCAGCAGACGAGGGGGAGGCGACCAAGCTCGACGAGAAACTCAGCGTGCTCAAGTGCATGATGGGATCGACGCAGCCGACGTGGCAGCAGATCGAGGCCATGAGGGCCAAGAAGAAGGCCACGATGGAGAAGCTGAGCAATACCCGAGCCCGCATCGCCACATATCAGACGCAGGAAGAGGAGCTGTGCGACGAGGTGAACAAGCTGGACGACTACCTGGCAGAGTTGGAGGTGCAGCGGCAGGAAGAGGAGGCGGAGGCGCAGGCCGCCGCGGCCGCCCAGCATGGGCATGGGCCGCAGCAGCCGCCTGGGCGCTTTGGTGCGCCAGCGGGAGCGGCGGCAGGTGCAGCGCCGTCGCACATCCCGCCGCCACCGCCTCCAGGATTCCAACCGCCGCAGCAGTTGTCTCCGATCGAGGTAATGATGCAGCAGATGATGATGCGCATGGAGCAGCAGGACAGGCAGATGGGCATGGTCATGTCGGCGATGGGGTTTACCGCGGCGGCGCCGGGTGTGGCAGCGCCTGGCGCCAGCGGTGGGGCGGCGCCCCAGGCCATGCCAGGGGCCGCGGCGGCGGCACCGCCGACGCCGCCGCCCGCGTTCCCGCCGCAGCCGCCAGTACAACCCGCAGCCGCAGAGCCGGATGCCATGGAGGTGGAATCGTCCCCGCCGCTTGCGCAGAGGTCGCCAGCAATGCCAGCAGCAGCGGCACCGACGACACCGATTGGGGGGATGCCTACGCCTGTGCAGCCGACGCCGCCGCCAGCGCAGAGGTCGCCAGCAACGCCAGCGGGTGCGACCGCCGCGCCAGGGACGCCCATGGGCGCGCCCAGGCCAGCGACGGTGTCACCGAAGGCGCCGTCCAAGAGCGGAAGGTCGAGTTGCTCGCCCACGTCGCCAGCGGAGCCAGGCGACGCCGAGGGGCAGAGCAGCCAGCCGACACCAGTGATGCACGCACCGCAATGCTCACAGCCGACGCAGCCGTGGGCCCCGATGACCCCGCCGTCTCAGCTCGACGATCCCTACTTGCCAGCGCCGACGGAGAGCGCCACGCACGAGAGCGAGTCGCCAGTCCAGGCGGAGGTGCGCAGGATCGACGGGAAGGCGGACAAGACGAAGATCGAGGTGGACAAAACGACGGCTTCTCCGCCGAGGAAGGAGAAGCGAGCAGGGGCGGCCTCGGTGCCCGAGGCGCGCACCGGAGCCGCGGCGGCAGCAGCGGCTCCAGCGGACGGGGGCGCGTGAGTGCGATCAGACTCGGGCCAGACGACGATGCACGCAGGGAAGTTGCAGCACCGTCGACAGCCTCGAGGGGATCGTTCACTACTGATTGGGCAGGCGCGCCTGTTGCGCCTCTGTTGGCAGGCAATGAGGAGGAGCCGCAGCTGGCTCCTCTGCGCCTGGCTTGCTGCGGGCATATCCTCCCGACCTTTTTTGCATCAAGTGAATATTGTAGAGCGCACCCAGGTATGGGTGCAGCCGAGCACGAAGCCAGCGTGCTAGCCAGATCACTTTCAGGCCAGAGCCGACCGTGGTCGACCATGGCCCACTTGTGGGGCATTGACGCAGCGTTCGATAGTTGGATGGAGGAGTGCGTTGCCTGGGTCTCGTGGCAAATCCGCACTAGTGCCATGTTTGCGCCGCTTGCCATGACAGCTCAGGCATGTGCGCTAGTAGCTCGCGATATATGTGACCGTGCTTGGGCGTTGGCACAGCATGATCGTGATGCGCACACTAACAGGTTGCACCGTCTGCGGCGTAGGCCAGTAGATAGCACGCACGCTGATGAATTGCACGAGCACGTTGAACATGCCCTTGCCGCGCTGCAGCTGACGCGGGATCAGTGGCAGGCCGAGGCGTCGGGCGCGCCGCTTTTAACCACTGCCGAAAGGGATGCAGCCAGGCCGCGAGCGAATCTGTTCTGGGAGTCCTTCTTGCACTATGAGGATCCGCTCACGCCCAGGCAATTGCAGCATGCCTTTAATGATGAGCCCGACTTTCAACCGTCAGCTGGAGCAGCCAGCTCGGCGGAACCGCCGCCGCCTGCTGCAGAGGCAGTAGGCACTCAGATGATGGACGATAACGTTTCACTTGACTCCAGCATGTCATTTGGATACATGGCCGGGCACGCCGGGGGTTCAGGCGTGCAGGAATCTGATACGGAGGACGACCTCTACGCAGATGCATCCGACACGAGCTTCTTGCAGCTGCGTGCTGGGAGCCCAGCTTCGGAGCAGCAAGGTTGGATCATATGCTCGCCGTGCGCGTCTGATGCATCTGCCGATAGCGACATGGGCGGGTGGGACTGTGTGGGTGAGCTTGGGCGGGGTGGGGAAGACAACACTGATTCAGACGCGGACTCCGTGACAGGCTGGGACCTATGCTTGTCTACGGTCAGCGCTGACAGTCCGAGTTTTCAAGACGATTGCGAGCCGCCAGGGGCTTGCATCATGCCCAGCGCGGCCGCCGCCTCCGCCGAGCGAAGCAGGACTCGAGTCTCTTGGGGAGAGACCGAGGTTCGCTCGTTTGTTGTTGACGAGTGCGATGGTTTGTCCGAGGATGGGGGATCGGGTCAGGCCTATACTACACCAAAAACAGTCATAAGTTTAGAGGCGTTGCTCGTGGGCGTCGACGGCTATGCCAAATGCGATTTCTCGGGTGCCGATCGGATCGTTCGCTGCCTTAGTGAGATGCCGCCTCTTTGCCTTTTGAGGGAGTTAGGGGAAGTCCAGCTCAAGGCGGAGGCGGAGTTCGCGCTGGGGGCGGCTGCGCCTAGCGAGGTGCCGCTGGGTCCCATTGCTTTGTTTCCAGACGGCTCTCTAACGGCAGAGCGAGGACTTAGCGGCTGGGCCATGGTAGCAACTTGCTTGGACGAGGAAGTGGACGTTCGGTTTATGGGTTTTTTGGCCGGGATTGTCTTCGCCACGATTGGAATGCAGCTCGAAAAAAGATGTCAGTTCGATCACCGCCGAGACGGTGGTTTTGATATGGTCGTTGATTTGGGCGATTAGTTATACCATGCAGCAGCGCGAGCGGCGTGAGCTTTACCCCGTCACGATATTTTCTGATTGCGAAGTGGCCATAGCCATAACGCTCGGCATGCAGTATCCGCATGCTGAACCTAAGCTGGGAGCGCTGGCGCGACATATATATATATATATATATATATATATATGATTGCTTCCGCCCGGGTGCCAGTTCAAATTCTGCATGTCTACGGACATAATAAGCATTGTTGGAACGAGCTGGCCGATGATCTGGCCAAGTCCACTCGAGACATCTTGTATGATTGCACTCCCCCCAGGATAGTGCAAGAGCTTTACCACACCCCCGAGCTTGAGTGGAATTGGTTGCTCGATTTGCCAGAAGCTGACAAACACCAGTATCCGTTTTCGAGTGATGCTGAGGTCATGTTGCCCTGTCGGCCCCAGCACATGTGTAGCGATGGTGCTGGCTTATATGTACGTGCCTTGCCTGACACTTGTTTGCAACCAGAGCTTGACGAAGTGGTTCAAAAGGCGGCGAAACGCTCCATGATCCTCGTCACGTATAATGCTGAGACAGCGCAGGATACGGTAAAAGGCGAAAGGACCGTCTTGCGAGGCCAATGGTTGAGGCAACAGTTTCAGGAAGCATCGGCGTTGCTCGTAGGCGCGCAGGAGGCGCGGACGCCTCGCGGCAGTCGCACAGCCGACGACTTTTACTGCATGGCGTCGGGGGCGGAGGAGGGGGAGAATTTTGGGTGCGAGTTATGGGTCAACCTCAAGGCCCCATACGCCACGGTGGGGGGGAAACCTGTTTTTCTCAAACCGGGGCACTGCATTGTTGTGCAGGCCTGCCCGCGCCTGCTTGTTGTTAAAATCAATGCCCCATGCTGGCGCACCGTCGTGCTGGCGGGGCATGGTCTCTGTCCAGAGGCCCCGCTCAGGTTGCGCAAGCAGTGGTGGCGAGAGACCACGCGCAGCGTAGCCAAGTTCGGGGTTGACATTCTCTTGCTCGATGCCAATGCTAAGGTAGGAGCTAATCCAACTGAGGCTATAGGGTCGTATCAGGCAGCCAAGGAAGACAGTAACGGGGGTCTCTTCAATGGCTTGTTGTCTGCTAATGGCTTGGGGGTCCCCTCCACCTTTGGGCCCTCCCCTACCCCGTCATATACACTCGATAAGCAGGGAGCTAAGCATCGAGTAGATTACGTGTGCACGCCGCGGTGTTGGCTCGGCCATGTGATTGAGCATGGAGTGCTGCACGACTTAGATGTTGCGCGCAGTCATCAGGATCACTTCCCAGCATACGTGAAGTTGCAATGGGTTGAGCAGTTTGACGTCAAAAAAGCATGTCCCGTTTTGGACAAGGAAGCTATGCGTGATCCTGAGAAGCGGCAGGCCTTCAGAAGCGACATGCAGTCTGCGCCGCGCGTGCACGGGTCCGTAGACGTGAACCAGCATTTCAGTATGATTACGAGTTTTTTCCAGGAGTGCGCTTCGCGTCACTTCCGTAAAGCCAAGCCGGGCCCCACCAAAAGTTATGTCAGGGAGGAAACCTTGTGGGGTATCCGGTTCAGGAGGACCGTGCGAGGCGTGCTCCGTGCCTTTAAAGGGGAAGACGCTCGGCCTATCTTGATGTTTGCCGCCTCGCTCATCGAGGCACATGATGACCCGCAGGTGGCAGCTGCTCGCGAGGCGCTTCCTGAGTTTGACTCGGCTGTCGGCATCCTCACGTTTGCTGCTCGGTTGTGGGTTGATCAAGTCCATGGGGTTCAGGAGTTTCACGGGGCTTGTGTTGCTTTCCTGAGATCATCGCAGTATGCGATTCGTCGTAAGCTTCGGAACGATCGCACTCGATTCCTCGAGGAAAAGGCCACCGAAATCAATGATGCAACTAATTCAGGAGACGGCCGCGTGGAGTGGCCAGGCGTTAAGTGTTTGATTTCCCTTGGGGGTGGGCGTAAGTCTGGGGACAAAAACGTGTTGCCTATGAGAGTGAATGCTGATGGTCAGCCGTACGAGTCACGCGAGGCCTTGGCACAAGGGCTCGTAGAGCATTTCGCAGCCACCGAGAGAGCTAAGATTTGTACAGTGCCAGAGCTCGTTACCCGCTGTGATGAGCAGCAGCAGCAGTTCCATTCGAGTGGGCATCGTGAGCTGGCAGACTTGTACTCTTTAGCGGGATTGCAGTGTGACATCCAGTGTGCGGCGAAGCGCAAGGCAGCAGGACACGATCTGTGCACCAATGACTTGTATCAGGCCGCGCCAGACCTCAGTGCACAGATTATGCTGCCACTTGTGTTAAAAGTCCAGATGGCATGCCGGGAACCCCTGGCATGGAAGGGCGGGGTGGCGCACGACTTGCACAAAAAGGGGGACGCTCGGTTGTTGAAAAACGTTCGGGAAATCCTGCTTGGAGTGCACGTCTGCAAGCACCACCACAAGTACCTGCGGCGCAAAATCCACGATGTTGCTTCGGTCCTGTTGGACTGCGATCAGCACGGGGGCCGGTCGGGGAGAGGCACGGCGGGTGCCTCGCTTCAAGTTCGGGCATTTCAGGACCTTGCTAGGCATCTGGGGTATACTTCGGTGCTTTTCTTCACGGATCTAAAAGCCGCGTTTCACACAGTCATTCGAGAGTTTTTAACCGCCTTGCCGTCGGCACAGCAGGACCTGTAGGATGTTATCGACGATCTGCAGTTGCCGCTAGCGCTTGAGGGGGTGATGAGGCAGTTGCTGGCAGAGCCAGCTGTGTTCGACAGGGTAGGTACCGAGCACTTGAGGGATGCAGTTGCCGATGTAAACTCGAGCACCTGGTTCCAGGTAAAAGATGCTACGTCCGTCGCGCAAGCGACGTTGGGGGCAAGGCCGGGCATGCCCCCTGCTGATTTCTTTTTTACCCTCGCTTTTGCCCCCGTGCATGAGGAGGTGAGGATGAGGTTTTTCGCCGAAGGCATCGGCTTAAACGTTGAAGACATGTGCCCGCGGGTAGGCCGCACCTTCACCAGCCGCGACAAGCAGCTGGACAGCCGCATAGGATCGCCCTCGTATGTGGACGATCTTGCCGTGCTGCAGGCATGTGCCAAGGCACGCGACTGCTGCAAGTTGGCCGAAGTTGTCGTCACTACCGTGCATCAAGTGATGACGGCGAGGGGGTTTGTCGTCAACTACGGGGAGGGCAAATCGACCCTGATGTTCCACCCTATCGGCGAGGGCACGAAGATTGCTAAAGCGAAGATAGCCGCGTTTAAGGGGGAGATGTGGGTCCCTGCTATCAAGCGTTCTGTTTTTGTTGCTAACGTGTGCAGGCACCTGGGATCTATGGTGCACGCCTCGGGCTCCATGAATGCTGAGCTTGCGCACAGGCACCACACCCAGCCGGGGGTACTTGGGGGGCTTAAGAATGCGGTATTCACCCGTAACAACGATTTACCTGTAGATACCCGCGTCAAGTATGCTGCCGCCTTCTGCCACAGCCGGGCGTTCTTCCACGATGCCGTCTGGTCCGCACTCAGCGCAGGCAATCAGAAGTACTTGGAAACTGCGCTTATGGCCTCTCTCAGGGCTGCTGTGGGCTTTCGGAGGCAGGAGCAAGACGATGTGTGTGCTTGGTCTACGCCTGAAGTTTACCTCAAGTGCCGCCGTCTCCCTGCTCTCGTCACTCTGCGCCTCAGGAGGCTTCGTTTTTTGGAGAAAGTTTTGAGGTTCGGATCGGACGGGTTGTTGCACATGCTTGACGCACTTGTCAGCGTTAAGAATAGTTGGGCATATCTCGTGAGGCAAGATATCTGGTGGATGTATGATCGGATCACGATCCCGATCGAATGGTCTCCCGTCGGGGACTTGCCGTGGTGGATTGGTGTAGCCCGTGATTGCCCCAAAAAGTGGACTGCTTGGTGTACAGAGGCGGAGAGAGGCGCCATGGCAGAGCACCTGGCGAGCTGCGAGGTTGCTGTGTGGCAATCCAAGTTGGTTGCCATCCGCGAGCGCGGCAAGCCCCCCGTTCCCCCCGTCCTCAAAAAGGTTGTTGGGAATGTAGTGTTTCCGTGCAGGGAGTGCGGAGAGGTGTTTAACACCAAAGCGGCGTGGGGAAGACACCGCACTCTCGCGCACCCCGAATTTGACCTCGCAGGGGCGCTGGCACTTGGATCATGTTGCCACGCCTGCGGCCAGGATTGGCACACCAGAGGGCGGCTACTCCGTCACCTCCGCTTCGGCTCGAGCCGATGCCTCACGGTGCTAGCGCACCATTTAGAGCCCATGCCTGTCGAGCGAGTGCTGGAGCTGCGAAAGGAAGATGATCGGGCGGCCAGGGCGAGTCGGGGGCGGGGGGAATGTCGGAATGCAGCTACCGCTCCGCCAGTTGCCTTTATCGGACCTGTGCTGGGTGGCCCAGTTGAGGCCAACATCGCTCGAGCCACGACTGACGGCGTCGAGCGCGGTCGGGATCAGAATGCTGGTGCCCCTGCTGTGCTCAGTAATTCGCCTTCAGAAGTGCGTTATTTCTTGCATCTTTTCAGCGGCCAACGTCGGGCAGGCGACGTGCGAGCTCACTTCGAAATGCTTCAGATGGCCGCTCGTGTACCCGTGGTAATGTTATCGATCGACGTTGCCAATAGTCCAGACCGAGGTGACCTTACAGTAGAAGCCTCGGTCGCTAAAATATTAGAAATGTCGTGGTCCGGGCAGGCCCTCGGCGCAGTTGGAGGGCCCCCGTGTGAGACCTGGTCCAAGGGCCGTGCGAATCCACCGCCCAGTGGGGGTATAAAGCCTCGTGTCCTTCGGTCCAGGGATTTGTTATGGGGCCTGGCGGCCCGCTCTTCATCTGAGTGGAAACAGGTTATGCTCGGCAATCGTTTGTTGCAGACTATGCTTCAGGTTGTGTATGTTTGTGCGGCCGTGGGAGCCGCCTGTATTTTAGAACATCCTCTTGAACCGGAGGCCCCTCACCTCCCCTCGATCTGGCGCCCCCCTGAGATGAGAGCATTGTTTGGTTTCAGAGCTCGTGCTGACATCAGGTTTCTGAATTTAGATCAATGTACGCGCGGTGCTCGGTCAAAGAAACCCACTACCCTACTGTGCGTAAATGTGCCGACGATTCGTGATTTAGTTGCTCAGTTGCCAGGCGGGGGCAAATGCCCCCACACCTCTCATCCCGAGGAACTCGTCGGGGTCCGAGGTAATGGCGATTTCCGCACTGCAGCAGCGAAGCAATACCCATCGCAGTTGTGTAAGATTATTGCCCAGGCACTTCTTCTAACTGTGCGTGATTGTGAATTGCAGGCAGTCGGCCAGGTCCCCGAGGTCCCGCCACAGGCGCAGGATTTCTATGTGCCCTACGACCCTTATTTCGAGGGTCACGGGTGGGGGCGCTACGCGGCGGACAGGCACCGTGCTGGCTGACGCCGCTTTGCCGCCGCCGCTTCGTTATTGCATGTCATTCGTCAGTGCAGCAGCATTATTGCTCCCATCGGTGTCGGAAGAAGAAAGGAGGAGAAGGAGGAGGAGGATGGGAGAGGGGAGGACGGGAAGCGGGAAAAGGCAGAGAGAGCGCGGACCTCCGAGAGTTGGTGGGTGCGCCGTTCCTTTCCTCCTCGCGAGGCGGGCCGGTGCCGCGCCATCCTGGATACCGGCACCTCGCTGCTGGGAGTGCCGCGCCAGGTCTCCCGGCCGATGCAGCGCCTGCTCGCCCGCACGCCGCCGCAGGACGCCGACGTGGAGGAGTCGGGGGCAGCGCCAGGGGAGGGTGGGCTCAGGGGGGCGTTTGTGGTTCGAGGGTGTCAGGCGTCTCCGTCGGTTCTCGGCGGTTGTCCAGCCTCGGCATGCTCTCCTCCTGTTGCGCCTCGCCGACTGTTCCTCCTCCTCCTCCTCCTCCTCCTCCTCCTCCTCCTCCTCTCCTCCTCCTCCTCCTCCCTCCTCCTCCTCCTCCCCCTCCTCTCCTCCTCCTCCTCCTCCTCCTCCCCCTCCTCCTCCTCCTCCTCCTCCTCCTCCCTCCTCCTCCTCCTCCTCCTCCTCCTCCTCCCCTCCTCCCCCTCCTCCTCCTCCTCCTCCTCCTCCTCCTCCTTCTCCTCCTGAGAAGGAGGAGAAGGAGGAGGAGGAGAAGGAGGATACCTGGATCGTCCCGAACGGCCGCCGGAGGCCGGATTTGTGACCCGAAAACCAATTGGGGATAGGCTCAGGGGGGAGACGCACCGACTCCCAATCGCCCACTGATGGCCGGTAGGAGCCCGATAGCCCGCCCCGCTCAGGAACGTGCGGACTCGCTATCGGCGGCATATCGCCGATCTATCGGCGACGGTTCGCCGATTCCAGGTCGATGCTTCCCCCCCCTGAATTGGTCCCTCCTCCCGTTGCCCCTCAAGGACATGGACTGCCGCGACGTGCAGGGGAACGACATCGAGTTCGACTTGGGCGATCAGGTCGTCAGGGTCGGGGCGGAGGACTACTCGCGCCCCAGGCCCTTCAACATCACCGCGGACACGCCCGAGGGCTGGCAGCTGTCGTGCCGGTCCCTGCTCCTGCCCCTGGACATCGAGGCCCCGCTGGGCCCCCTGGTCTTCATCTGGGGCGAGCCGGTGCTCGTGGCCGAAAGGAAGAAACGGCCATGCATGCATGCATGCATCCACGCATCCACACATCCATCTATCCATCCATCCATCCATCCATCCATCCATCAATCCATCAATGAGTGAATACATAAACGCATGCATAAAGACATACATACACAGCCATACAGCCATATATATAAACATGCATAACTACAGTCATACCTGCATGCACACATATATACATATCTTGACATATCTACATGCATACATACATACATATATACATACATGCATACCTGCATACATACATACATGCATGCATGCATGCATACATACATACATGAACACATGCATGCATACATACATACATGTATGCATACATACAGACAGACAGACAGACAGACAGGCATCCATATATACATACATACACACATACATACATACATACATACATACATGCATGCATGCATGCATGCATACATACATTCACACGCATACACATGCATACATACATACATACATGCATGCATGCATACATACATACATACATACATACATACATACATACATACATACACATAAACATGCATGCACGTATATATAGATATATATATATATATATATATATATGTATATCTTCATATGCATGCATACATACATCAATCAAAGTATATATAGAGGCATACATACATACATGCCTGCATGCCTACAGACAGACGTAGGTACAGGTGTGCATGCATGCATGCATGCATGCATGTATGCATACATACAGACATAAACTCATGCATACATGCAAGCATTCATGCATGCGTACACACATACATGCATACATGCATGCGTACATGCATATATGCTTACATAGATACATCGATGCAGACATGCATGCATACAACTAGACACATGCGTACATTGGCATAGACACACACACACATACACACATACGCATCCGTAGCCGTAGCCGTAGCCGTATCCGTATCCGTGTCCATGTCCGCGGCATCGCGGGCTGGGCCCCTGGGCCACGACCCCGCGGATACGGGGCGCATCTTCGCGCATGTCCCGCGCGGGACGTATCAGTGCGACCGCGCTATCCGCAGGATCGCGCCCCGGATCCAGACCGCGAGGGCGCGGATACGGATATGTTCGCCGCTTCCTAGACCTCCGACGTCATGATTTTTTCATGACGTCGACCCCCAGAGGTCTCGACCCATTCCCCGGGACCAGTTTTTCATCCTGAGTCGTTTTTGAAAGTCCCGAGGCCCGTCAAGGGCTCCCAGAGGCCAAAAATACTGAAAAACCTTCCCCAGGATCAGTTATTCATCTTTAGTCGGTTTTTGGCGGTCCCGAGGCCCAGCAAGGACCCCCAGAGGCCGAAAATTGTGAACAACCTCCCGTGGTGGGGGTACACCCATCAGAGATCTAAGAAATCTTTTGGCCTGCAGATTTCGCTCAAGAAAATTAAGAATCTGAACTGGACCCTGGGCATTTTCTTAGAGCTCTTTTTCTTCGTACAGTTTTCGTGCATAATGTATATACAGGCATACATATATACCCATACGACCACCCTTCGGGTGATAAGGAGGTTGTGAGGGGGGGAGAGGGGTGGAATCAACATCTGACTCAATCGATCTCACTATCGATCTCGCTCAACGGGACACCACGGGACACTTGTCGATCTCACTATCGATCTCACACCACGGGACACCACAGGACACTTGTCGATCTCAGTATCGATCTCACTCAACGGGAAACCATAGGACACCACCGGCCACCACGGGACACCACGGGACACCGCGGGACATTTGTCGATCTCACTATCGATCTCAGTATCGCTCTCACTCAACGGGACACCATAGGACACCACGGGACACCTCGGGACACCACATCGATCTCACTATCGATCTCACCATCGATCTCGCTCAACGGGACACCACGGACACCTGTCGATCTCACTATCGATCTCACTATCGACCTCACTTTCTGGGACACCTCAGGAAACCTCGGGGCACCACATCGATCTCAGTATCGATCTCACTATCGATCTCACTATTGATCTCACTAAACGGGACACCACGGGACACCATGGGACACCACGGGTCACCACGGGACACCGCGGGACACCGCGAGCCACCGCCGGACGGGCGGAAGGAGGATAATCATTTGTCTTGACTTCGCCCTAGCAACGGCGGACACCACGGGACACCATGGGACACAACGCGACACCGCGAGCCACCGCCGGACGGAGGAGAATCATTTGTCTTGATTTCGCCCTAGCAACGGCGGACACCACGGGACACCACGGGACTTAACGGGACACCAGCGGGACGCCGCGGGCCACCGGCCGCCGGAGGAGAAACATTTGGTCCGGCCGCGGCCCAGCCACAGGAGGATTTCGGGACACCAGCGGGACACCGGCGGGACACCGCGGGCCACCGGCCGCCGGAGGAGAAACATTTGGTCCGCCCGCGGCCCAGCCACAGGAGGATTTCTTCTCGCCCGCCCACGCAGCTTCGCCTCGCCCGCACGCACGCACGGCACGCACGACACGAACCCGAAACCGAAATCGATTCCCAGCTAGGGGGGGGGCCTTCGTTTCACGTCGGACTCACACCCCAACCTCCGATATACTCATGTACGTTTGTATACCTATATATATATATGTGTATACATATATACATATATACACTTATGCATATACGTATGTATGTATGTATGCATGCATGCATGTATGAATGTATGCATGCATGCATGCATGCATGCATGCATGCATGCATGCATGCATGCATGTATCTATGTATGTATGTATGTATGTATGTATGTATGTATGTATGTATGTATGTATGTATGTATGTATGTATGTATGTATGTATGTGGACCTGGGCTAATGGTTAAGAAAACGCCTAGTGAGAGGTCAATGCTCTTAGCGTAAACGTTGTTTAACTCTAAGAAGGGTGTCTGGGTCGTGAGGTGCTCCGGAAGTACCTGACCATCTACGACTGGAGCGCCAAGCAGATCGGCTTCGCCGACGCGGGCGCGCCGGCGGGGCCGGCGGAGCTCGACGCCGTCGGGCGACCGCCTGCTGGCTCCTTGGCCGCTGGGGCGCCGCTGCTGTCCAGGCCTCTGGCGCGGACGGCTGCCGCGGAGGTTGGGCGTCGCGCAATTTCACCTGGCGCGTTCCATTACTCGCAAAGAGCCTACTCGCAAACGTCCGAAAGGCTGATCCAGGCCATTTGCGAGTAGTGACTCTGCGAGTAGTGGAACGCGCTTGCCTGGCAATGGGGGAGATGCAGAATGGCTGCAGCAAGAACACCCTTCAGGGCCCCTAACGGGGCCCGAGAGAGCCCAGAAGGGGCCCCCTTTCAGGACCCAGACAGGGCACCTTGCTTCCCCCCTTCCCCCCTTAATCGCCCCCCCACGGAACGACGCCCAAGGAGGCTGAGCGCGCGGGGTCGACACTCGTGGTGTGAGCGGGGCCTGCGCCTGCCTGACGCTGGCGGCGCGCACCACTCGGCTACATGTCGGAGTGGCCCTTCGCCTGAGTGACCTCCGGGGTGCGGGCCCACGGGGGCCCTCCGAACGCCGAGCGCGACGCGATGGAGCATCGGCTTGCGCGCTTGGGTTTGGCCACCCCGCGCCGCCGGTTGCGCCGCGCACGAAAGGTCACTCTTGCTTTGGGCCACTCTTTGCGCGTAGCCGAACAACGGGGTGGCGCGAGGGGGGAGGCTTCTAGTATCGGGACGATCGAGGTATGGAGAAAAAAGCATGTGCAGAGGCTGACAGCAGTCCCTGCTCGTCTGGAACAGGACTCGCTGTCAGCGTCGCCGCGGGCTGTGTCCATCTGAGACAGGAGGCTGCCTGCCCAACCGCGGCCGCCGTTGGTTTGGGGACAACGTGTGTTGTTGGGCATCGTACCCATGTTTTCCGTACCCATGTCGGGCGTCCAACTAGGAAGGCAGGAAGCCCCCCGAGGCTTCCGAGAATTCTTCTCGGAAGGGTCTGGGCGCTTCCGCGAGGGCCGCCTGCCTTCCGAGCAGCTCTGCCCTGCCTTCTTCGGCGGCCCCCCCCCTTCCGCGACACGCGCCGCCGAGAGTGCGGTGCCTCTCTGGTCGGCGCCGCTGCTCCTCCTCCTCCTCCTCCTCCTCCTCCTCCTCCTCCTCCTCCTCCTCCTCCTCCTCCTCCTCCTCCTCCTCCTCCTCCTCCTCCTCCTCCTCCTCCTCCCTGGTGCGGGGACCGCTGCGGCTGGCTCGCCCTCGTCCGTTGTCCGGAGCAGCGGCAGGCCGCCGCACGGCGCGGCGGGAAGGGGGTCCCGCGCAAGCGTGCAGCCTTTGTCTCGGGGGGGGAAACACACACACAGACACAAGTCATCGTCGATTCCCATGGGGATTTGGAGAATATGGGAAGTGGGAGGGAAGACGGAAGTGAAAGATCAGCCAGCGTTGGCTCCAGATAGGTTAGACGATTCAAATCAAGGAACCAGAGGAATCAAGCACGCTTGGAATCCGCAACTCAGCAAGCGTGCAAGCAAGCAAGCAAGCAAGTAAGCAAGCGAGCGTGCAAGCAAGCAAGCAAGCAAGCAAGCAAGCGAGCAGACATAGGCATAGGCGCAGGCACAGGAGAGGGAGGCATAAGCATAGGCATAGCCATAGGAATTAGGGAGGCATAGGAATTAGGGGGGGCAACGGACCAATTAGTGGAGAATGATTTAGAATTCCAAGAGGGCAAGCCTGTGTGGAGAACAAGGGAAAAATAACAACAACAACAAAAAAAAAACAAAAAAACAAAAAAAAAAAAAAAAAAAAAAATCCTTGGATGTGTGTGTGTATTTGTTTGTGTGTCCCTGGGCCCCTTCAATGTCCACTGACACGTGGAGATGCTTTTCCCCGCGAGGCATACAGAAGAAAAAGGAACGCTTGTATGAACATAAACCATAAACTTTGTTTGGAGGGTCCGCCTCCGATCCAGGACGCTGGACGCCCCCCTGCCAGCAGACGATTCCTAGAGCTTCCAAGGATATCCTCCTCTTCCTCCGTCCCTTCTCTTCTAAATAACTCCTCCCTGACGTTTCGCTTGACACTTCTTCGCCAGATTTGGCCTTGAAGTTTGAAACTTGGAGTTGTTACGCAATGGGGCTCTCGCCCTAGCGCCCCGCACACTTGTCGTACACAGTTCCCAGAGATACAAGGAACGAGCAAGGATGGATGACGGCTCGTTCAACATGGGGCTCCCGCCTCAGCGCCGTACACACTCGTCCTCAAAGCTTGCAACAGTTACAAGGATGGGGGCGGCCCCCTTCAAAACGGAAACATCGCCCCAGCGCCGCGCACATTCGTTTTCATAGTTTGCAACGCTTGCACAGATAGAGGCCAGTTCCAGTTCAACAAGGAGATGTTCATGTAGACTTCCTCAAATGTTGCAACAAACGCCGATGGGGTGTCGGTTCGATTTCAAAACGGGGCTCATATAATCATCAGTGTTCGTAGTCCCCACAACTCGCCAGAGATGCAAGGCAGCTCCTTCTTCAAACGGTTCTCTCACCTGAACGGCAGGCACGTACGGGGATGCACTTTCAAGGGGACGCTTCTTGTGGCAGAAAAGGAATATTGTGGGGAGTTCTAGGGGGCCCCATCCCCTCCCTCCCTCTCTCCCTCCTCCTCCTCCTCCTCCTCCTCCTCCTCCTCCTCCTACTCCTCCTCCTCCTCCTCCTCCTCCCCCTCCTCCTCTTCCAACCTCCACCTTCCCCTCTCCCTCAGGCTTCTGTCCTTCCGACGCCCCTGCGGTCTCAGGCGTTTTCGTTCGGTCTGTATTCGTGCACCCGGACGCCGTCATGATGATCGTTCTCTTCCTCGTCCCCTCCCCAATTGCCTCCTCCTTCTCCTGCCTGCCTGCCTGTGTATATGTGTGTCCGTCAGTCTTGGTATATTTCTCCATTTTGTGTTCTC